AGGTGGCTTGGAGGTAATTAAAGTATCAATAGCCCTTTTGTAATATCTGCATGTAATCATCTTGTACTTAAAGTTACAGTTAAATGAGCCACCATCCTATTCAAAGCCTTTAACAATAAGAAAACCAGTAGATGGGGCGGCCCTTTGTTGTGTTTTTGTGTTTCTGTCCCGCCCTGTCACCTTTTCCAGTCTTCACAAAATTACCATTTCTTTTGTTTCTCTGTGATTAGGACAATTTTGGAGAAAATGGGCCTGTGGGGGAAGGTGACTTCCCTCCAAACAAAAAAAAGTGGGACAATAAAAAAAAAATACAAAGTATGTATGTGTGATTTGAAACTTATATATTCTGTATACATTTTTTTTTTTATAATTTTTGTATAAATCGTTCACTGTGTAGCATAAAGGGAACTACAAACTGCATTCATCTTACAACCCTGTTTTAATATAATACATACATTTACCTTGTATGTTGTATATTCATTTAATTCATTTTAGTCATGCACATTAATAAACACAGTTGCTGAAATTTGTTTTTCTGCTGTTGTCATTTACCATGATTGATTTCCTGTGCCTTAGGATTGCAAGTGTCCAGGGTCAGGAGAGGGTGTAGGGGGGGAAGCCCACTGCTGCAACTTGGCCCTGGTTTGTCCTCATGGATGAGGTGTTGGGATAGAGGCCTTCCACCACCCCACCTGTCGTAATTGCCTCTATCCCTGAGGACACACCAGGGCCAAGTAGTGCAGTGGGTGACCAGGAGGAGGAGGAGGAAGAGGAGGAGAGCCATCTGAGAAAGAGAAAGAGGGACAGAGAGGATGAGCTGCTTCAGCTTCTTAAGGAAGACATTAGGTTGCAGAGAGAGGCAGAGGAGAGGAGAGAGAGGATAGACAGGCTGTTCTCTCTACTAGAGAGACCTGCAGAAAAATAAATCCTTAAATAATAATATATACAATATTTATTAATTAATTCAAATAAAATATTTATTAAATAAATTATTTTATTTTCTGTGGTCTTTATAACTATAAGTATTTACAACACAGTGGATCGAGGCATTGCAAACACTCTGGAGACCACCCTGTATGATGCCCCACTTGCCAGCCAGAAGAGAAACACCAGGGTCTCAATCGTGGCACCCCATCCGTGTCTCCGTTCCTGGTTTAGGGGGCCCAGTAGCACTCCCAGGGCCTCCCTGCTCAACCGGAAATCCGGCCGTGTGTCCTGCTGGCTAAAAAACCTGTCCAGCACAGGCACACTCAGATTTATCCTGCAGTACAGGGGCCGGGCTGGTTTAGGGAGACAAGTATGAAGTGTAGAGAGCTTAGTTAGATAAGGCTTGTATATCTTTATATTCAACTTGCTTTAGCTGATCAATGACAAAAACACTGTAAATATTTTAATATTAAAGTAAGGTTAGGTTTTCTTTAAATATGAAATTATGTTGTTAAAGTGAAATGGCAGTAGCAACAAACTACGTTAACTGTGGTTAACATAACTGTTTAGCTTTAGGAAGCCTATAGTACCTAAATACATATAAAATGTAATGTTTCTTAGTTACTTTCCCCCGTATTTACCTGGCCAGGGTCCTCTCTCAGCCTGAGGTACATCATGCGGCGGCGCCGGCGGTGAAGTATCTCTAGTTCTTCTATTAAGAGGTAAAATATAAAAATTAAAATATTAGTCTCCATGCAGGTGGACCGCAGCTGTGGAGGTTGCTATGCCACAGGAGCGGTGCTTTCCCACGCATGGGTAAGGGCGGGGTCAGTTGATGACGCAATAGAAAGTCCTCCGTAGACCAGACCGTCTCATTTAACAACGGTCGGTTCGGCCTTCGTAGGCCACGAAGGCCACGCCCTTCGAAGGATGAATTGAGACACAGCTATTGACTATATGCCCGATGCCAAAATTACTTACCGACCCCTGTGCTAGACTTTCATTTTGTTTTCTCGAGATCTCTAATTAATTATGTCATTATCTCGGGAAAACCGAGTTTAGTTATCTCAAGATAATTGTCCCGTTATCTCGGGAAAACAATATTTGTTATTTTAAGATTATGACATAAATAACTTGAGATCTTGAGAAAACAAATTAAATTAACCCGTTATCATGGGGAAAAAGAGTAAATAAAATGTATGAATGTGTGGCCTCTTAGTGCTTCAGTACAAAAGTACTTCTCTTGCACAGATATGCTACATTACTAGATTGTTAACACTGAATCATAAATGTGTGATTTTACTTTTGTATCTGGTCGAGGTTAATCAGTTCTAGGTACAGTTTGGTAGTTTAGTCAAGTATAGTCACCTGATAAATGTGAGGGGTCTTAGGATGACTAAGAGAGGAAATCTGTTTTCAGTTTTTGGACTCTTTGCATTTTCTGTGAAATACTGGATAGTTATACCTCTTTGTGCCTCGAGCAGTTCATTTAAATGAAAACATGTGAGAAGTGGAGAAGTGAATTGTCTCTTTGGTGGACGTGCTGCAAACAACTCATGCACATCTGAAATGTGACAAGGAGACACAAATACGCTGATTTTAATCTCTTAACAGTGTACATCATAAACGTATTGTGTTTTATGTACAATTCAAAAAGTAACTACAGTTTAGCTGTTGGATAAATGTGGGGGACTTAAGTACTTTAGTAGATTAAGTTAAATTACTTTCTACCACTGGATATAAATCTCATTGAAATGAATATCTGTTGAATATTGCATCAGTGTTATGATACAGTAAAGCTATATAAAGCTATATAAGTTGGTCTTCATTCTTAAGATTTTAATCTGCCTGTGGAGGAAGGACATTCTTAGTTAGACAAAAGAAAATATACCAGAGAAGTGTGAAAAGGAAGGAGTGAAAAAGTGGAGCAACAATACAGAGCATTTTATACAACACTTAACATCTCAATCCGTCTTTGTTAATTTTCCAGCGGCTTTTTATGTTTGTTGCAATGGGAAATAAAAAACTGGGTTATTATACGCTGTCGATGTTAATTTGCTGTCTTACAAAAATCTCTCTGCAGAACTCTCCTGTTGGAGCTGTAGGTAGCCTGACTGAATGCATGCAGTGTATATATATATATATGCTGCATGCTTGAGTGTGTGTGTGTGTGTGTGTGTGCGTGTGCGTGTGTGTATGTGGGTGGGTGGCTGATGTGAGTCAGGATTGTGGAAAATCCCTCTGCCCCTCCTTCCCTGATATCTGAGGCGATTAGAAATCGGGAGGTGTCACTCTGCGGCACTTCCTGCGATCACGACAGAAAGATGTATCCAAGGTTAGGCACTGTGAAAGCAATCGGACAGATGCTGCGATATTTATGAGTCAGCTTTACTGTGTCCACTGTGTCTCGTTAATAGAGACAGGCCTGTTTACATCTGTTTTAACCAAAAACTTGCTCTGGTCTCTGTAATTATTACGGCCTCATCAAGCTCATGCAGGTCTAGACAAGATCTGATAACAAGAGTCCAAATGGCTGGCAGAAGAGACACCCGGAGTTATAGTTGTTACACAACATTATGTAATTTCATTATGTAATTTGTTCTTTCAACACCTTTATTCTCCAGACCTCCATGAGCTCGGCTAGACAGACGTCTACTAGTGTTAGAATGACAACTTATTTTTGTTTCCCGATCAAGTCCAAGTCTCTCTACTCTTCTAAAAGACAGAAGTCGGCTCATTCAGGAGTTTTTTGGATGATATTTGAGTTATATATATATTTGAGTGTGGTGGTTCTTTACCCAGGAAGAAAATGTAAATTTTAAAGTTAAATGCATCAATCTGGTGCACTGTGAGAGAATGCTTCCGAGCCTAGATCTATGAAGAACTTTCTGCTCCAGTAAACAATTTAATCATTAACACATCGGGTCACACCCACAAAGCTTGGTAAATGAGACAAGGCTCACAAAAATGGTTAAAACACAAAAGCGCATACATTTGAGCTATCAAATAAATTTAAGTGGTTACCTGTGTTGGACTGGTTTAGTCTTTAGAAAATTTTAAATACGCTGGATTAAATAGACTTGTTTTGAATGAAAACCGTTTTTTTTTTGGTGCCAAACCGAACTGTAGAACATGACAGGTGATCACCTCAGGACAGCACCAGTAGCTCTTCCTGGATTTTGCTTTCTCATCTTGAAATAATTAAATAATGCTCCTGATCTGAAAATAAAGGGTTCAAACATTAAGCTTTAAACTGTTTTACTTAAACTTGATTAAATTTGCAAATAGCCTGCATTTACGTTGCATGATGAGCATCTATTTTGATTAACAATTAATCATTAAAGTCATTTTTTAAGCGAAAGTGCCAGACAGATTTGCTGTGATAGTTAAAATGCCTTTGGGTTTAATACTTGAAGGCACCGTCTTGGGTTTTAGGACACTGTGATAACAAGAAATTGATTGTTTGCTTTATAAAATGTCGGATGCAGATTCAGGTCGTGTGCTGTCTCTATGAACTCTTGTCAGAGTTCACTAGCTTTTAAATGGATCACAGTAAAAATAATGAAACTCGGCTCGTCTGCAGGGAGGCGCTCGGCCCTTGATGAAGGATTTCTAATTAGAGGGAGGAAGAGGCTGTTGAAGAATTCAAGCTGTTTGTTCGCTGCCTTCAGACGCCAATATGCAGATGAATCAAACGTTATTGACTCACTTTAATGGCACAAATAATAATACTGAGGCCTTGAAGGTTAAAACTCACACAAAGCAGTCCTTGTTTTCCGTGCAATCAGTCGACTAATGTCGTCCACAAAGGTAACGTCTTAACTTCATCTTCAGTTTCTACCATGTTTTTTTTTATTTCTGTCTCGCTTTCCTACATTTCGTATTTTCTTTTCTTCTCATGCCCTTTTAACAGCACTCTCCTTTGCTCTACTCTCTCTTTCATCTCTCCATTAAGACTTTAAAAGCCGTCCGGCCTTTCTTCTCTCAGGGTGGGTTAAACAGATTACAGTCTTGGAAAGACAGAAAATCCTAACCCTCTCTTTCTTCTTCTTCATTCTTTCTTTCTTTTACAGAAAGTCAGTGAAAAGGTTGGAGGTGCAGAAGGAACCAAGCTAGATGACGACTTCAAAGAAATGGAAAAGGTAAACATATCTATGGGTCGATATGTTCACACAAAATGAAAAAGGAAATACTCCAAACCAAATGAAAGTCAAACCACTGACGTACACATAAAGACATTCAACAAATAAGTTTATAATTATGTTCTTACGAGGACAAACCATCCTTGGTTGAGTGCACTTTCACCACTCTCATATATTCAGGAAAAGGTTATATGTTTTATAGCTTTAGAAGATTTTTGTTATTGTTTGACAGAGCCAGGCTAGCTGTTTCTCTCCAGTCTTTATGCTAAGCTAAGCTAATTGTAGCTTAATATTAAACGAACAGACGTAAAACTGATCAATCTGTCAAGCGAATAAATGTATATGTACACAAAATGAGAGATGGAGTAAATCTTTATTACTTGTTTATTTTTTAGGTAAAGAGCTGCTTGCTTCTTATTAATCAATGTACATTAATATCTAGATTTAATCATCGTTAAGTTAAGGTTTATGTGATGTAATGTTGTTTAATATCTCTCACAATTTTCCTGATATCTTTTCCTCTGCAGAAGGTGGACATCACCAGCAGAGCGGTGTTGGACATAATGACCAAAACTACAGAATACCTACAACCTAATCCAGGTATGAAGTGCAGTTAAACTGCATGTGGGGGGAGAAAAACCTTCGGCTGGGTCACACACTGCGTAATCCTTCTTCAGTAAAACAAATAGATTACATTAAGTCATTTAACTGATGCTTTTATCCAAACCGATTTACAATTGCTATATATATCAGAGGTCGCACGCCTCTGGAGCAACTAGGGGTTAAGTGTCTTGCTCAGGGACACATTGGTGTCTCACAGTGGATTTGAACCCAGGTCTCTCGCACCAAAGGCATGTGTCTCATCCACTGCACCATCACCACCCAAATACATACAATATAGATTTACTGTAATTTCAAAGCAACTGAAAAGGCTCAGGCTAATCAAAAGTCTCAGATTGGGTATAAAATTTGAAGCAGGATCATATGCCATTATGCTTTTATCGACCTGTAGCCCGTTGTCATTCCCAGGCGTCACATAGCTACACTTTTGTTACGTCCTTCGGTGTCTGGTACCAACGCCTATAGCATCATTGTTCAACGCTAAAAGTAGGCTAGAATATAACCAAAAGGTCTCAGTAAGGAGGTGGATGGGTAGGAAAACCAGATTTTCACCCAGGAGAACGGTGTTTGTTTCTCTTGTGAAGCAACAAGATTTCTTTTATGAAGCGACATCAAGCGGTCTTGACCTGACATCCATATGTGATGCCCTGGGAAGAGAACAGGTTGCGACGTGATGGCGCCATTACACCAAGAACTACACTGTATAAGTGAAACTACTGCCAATCTGTACCTCACTCCTTAACTAACTTGCCTGGTTACACACACGCTCTGGTCTGCACAGGTCAAGATGAACTACCTCTCATATGTGCTTCTGATCAGCGCTTCATGTTGTCTATGATCAAAATTAACAAACAGGTTATGCAAGTTTATATATTATTAACGTCCAGCAAGGAAATGGTTCAGATCATGTGTTCCTTTCCATTGTTGCTGCACAACACACCTGTCTGCTTGAACTGTTATTCCCACGTGCATTAAACGTTTGACAGCACAGACATTTAAAGCTCCTGGAATGGAAACTTTGACCATCTATTCCCTGTGATTAGAAGTGCTTATCAGCAACTTCCCAGCTCTACACTGCAAAGTGACCTTGTTTCCTACCACCGTCCGCGTGCTGCTTTCTGATCATGAATTCAATGTTTCTTTGATTAAAATGAAATGCACCATGACTCTGCAATAAATTAGCACATTCTAGGATGTAAAATAGATAGCAATAAAATATTTACCACACACATCCAACTGCCACAACATGTCGCCTGAATTTCACTCACTCACAATCTAACTCTTGCCACCCTGCAGCATCCAGAGCCAAGCTGAGTATGATCAACACCATGTCAAAGATCCGCGGGCAGGAAAAGGGACCTGGTTACCCACAGGCTGAGTCCGTGCTGGGCGATGCCATGTTGAAGTTCGGACGGGAGTTAGGGGAGGAGTCCAGCTTCGGTAAGTGGGAGTACACACATATTAATGGTGCTGATTGATATCTGTAAATGCCTGTTAGCTTAGTTTTAGCTAACTCTGCTTGGGAGGTAAAGTTGCTCTTGAAGTGAGAGGAGCTGCTGGTTCTGTATTCCCATTTTAATTCATCGGGTGTAACCAAGTTCAAGCTTTTGGTGTGACTATTGAGAAACAACCAATAAACTGCAAAACCACAAGAAAAGGACAGTGGATTTCAAAGTTAAGTGTAGTTGGAGTCCACATGGCCCTCTCGACACTCAGAGTACTTGTACACCAACTAAACACACACTAATCAATGCAAAGCCTTGGCTCTATTAAACAATCTGTTACCTCTTCCTGTACAGGGAAATCTTAGTCACAGAGAGGCAAACTTTCTCTTACCTCTTTTACTATCCTCTCAATATTTTCCGCCCCATTCCTCCTCCCTCTCAATTTTCCCTTCATTCGTCCCCTCCAGGTCTGGCGCTGATCGATGCCAGTGAGGCAATGAAAGAACTCGGGGAGGTGAAGGACGCTCTGGACATGGAGGTCAAACAGAACTTCATTGACCCGCTGCAGAACCTCCACGACAAAGACCTCAAAGAGATACAGGTGAATAAGACACCAGTTAAAAGGTCACCTGATACCATTAGTCCTTAATATATCTGAAAAATGGAAACTGTAATAGAAGCTAGAGAGATATCTTGCAGTTGAATAGTTGTTCATTACAGTTGCCGTGTTGTTTATCACTTTTTCCCTCCACTGCAGCACCATTTGAAGAAGATGGAGGGCCGACGCCTGGACTTTGACTACAAGAAAAAGCGTCAGGGGAAAGTGCAGGACGACGAAATCAAACAGGCTCTGGAGAAGTTTGACGAGAGCAAAGAGATCGCAGAGCAGAGCATGTTTAATCTGCTGGAGAGCGATGTGAGGACACTCATTTACTTTGATCATTGATTAATCTGCTAGTTATTGTGTTGTTAAATCAATTAATTATTTGGTCTATACAACATCACAAAACAGAGTATTGTCTGACCAACAGTCCAAAAACAAATAATTCAAATGTCTTTAAATGTAAGACGAAAAAAAGCAGTAAATTCAAGAAAGTAGAGAAGCTGGAATCATCAACAGTTTTTTTTATAATTGATACTCAGTTATCAAGTTAGTTGCAGATTAATCGACTAATCAATTAATTAGCTCTGGTTTACTTTAATGACAGTTCACCAGAAATTATTTTGTTAAATTGTTGTTAATTGTTAATGTAGTTTGTCAGTGTAGAGAGTGCAGTGAACGTCTCGGCTCTGGCCCTTCAATGAGCAACAAAAGTGGAAATTTGCAGAAAGAGAAAGAGCTGTCACATGTTGACATGGCTCTTGTGTTACTATAGCTACACACCGTTTTTGACAGATCCCAGTGTGTCCAAAACTACAGTGGAAAAACAAAGGGCAGCAACGCTGTGCCGTGCCAAGCCAGACTCAGGCCCAGCATGGGTACAAGACAGGAATTGGCAGGCAGTGGAAACAATGTGTGTGTGCGTGTGTGTTGCAGATAGAGCAGGTGAGCCAGCTGGCGGCGTTGGTTCAAGCTCAGCTGGAGTACCACAGCCGCGCTGCCGAAATCCTCCAACAGCTCTCCAGCAAGATGGAGGACAGGTATTGATCTATGTGCTTGTGGTAAAAATAAACCAGTTAAAATGGATCAAGGCAGTAAGACAAACCTTTTTTAACTGTGTCTGGCCTTTACACAGGATAAAAGAAGTGTCCAGTAAACCGAGGAAGGAGTATGCTCCTAAACCCAGAATGACCCTGGAGCTGCTGCCCCCCAGCGAGAGCCACAACGGGGGGATACATTCTGCCAAATCGCCCGGAAGATCACCAGGTAGAGTGTAGTGCTGGCGAATGAGTGCTTGACCTTTTTCTTATTTCTACAATTGTACTATGTTTTTCTATTTACAATGTTTTGTAAACAGTGAAACGAAAGAGGAATAAATTTGCTGGTGCTGTCAGGTGGAACAGTGAAATCGGTTTACGAAAGATGGCAAGCTATCTTAGCCAAGTCACACCAAGTATTTATGACTCAATGATCACCTTATCTGACACATGTCTTGTAGTCTGATTCCAGCATAAACACATTAATGGCGGTAAGAAATGTCGCAGGACACATCGTCCTCGCAAGCAGCCAATAAGCATGCTACTAGCCACAGCAGGATGTAAACTATTAACTTTATAGTACTCATTTTCTAACCTGGTATCCTGGTCCTCTTTTGGTAGAGCCAGAGAGTAGAAGTACATAACTGCAGGAATTCAGACTAGATGTACTTCTTTACGAATCATCTTTACATTTCAATTGTTGCTGTCATAACTGCAGAATCGTACTGGATGTGCCTTGTGGAAGTCAGCACATTTGGGGTAATAGCTAAGTTTAGTTGAACTCTGGCTGCTTAACCCGGTAATTTAGCAAAGTGCTCGTCACTGTGGCTCGTGCAGCTGCCAGAGAGAGAGCACATTGGACATTGGTAACGTCGATCTGGTGTTAAAGCCCTGATACAAAGACAGCTCCAAAACTGAAACTCTTTTGCCAGAATAAAGTATTTCTGGCAAATGTCTGCTACAGTCAGACAGTGAACAAAAAAGATTTCTGCAAGTTTACTAATGAAACACAACAATTACAATGTACTGTGTACAAGGTACCTTGGAAATTATGATTAGTAAAACCTCCCTTTATGCACCTTGTGGCTTTACTTTCCCCGAACTTATTCCAAGGAAACATTTGAGCAATTTCTTGGCTGTACAAACAGAGTCAGAACTTCATTACCCAAGAGGCAAGAGCTTCAAAGAGCCCCTAGAGGTTTTACCTCTCTCTGACTCTCCTCTTGCTAAACCTGCCTTTTTTTCTGTGCCCTCACAGCCCCCTTGGACCAGCCCTGTTGCCGAGCACTCTACGACTTTGAACCAGAGAATGAAGGCGAGCTGGGCTTTAAAGAGGGCGACATCATCACCCTGACCAATCAGATCGACGACAACTGGTACGAGGGCATGATCAACGGCCAGTCGGGCTTCTTCCCCATCAACTACGTGGATATCCTGGTGCCGCTCCCTCATTAGGTTCTGCCAATGACCTTACCCTACCCCCCACCCCCACCAACCAATCCAGACACCCCGAAAACAGCCTGTATTTGCATAAACAACAAAACACCTTCTGCTTCTTCTTCTTCTTCTTCTTCTGTGCTTCTGTGAGATTCTGCTTTCACAATATCGACTGAAATGACTGCGACGGAGACGGGGTGGATAACATGAGGCAGTAGGACAGTGATGTAGAGTAGAATTTTAGCGTTAGAGATGCAGAAGAGAGGCATTGAAAGGGACGAAAAGACGAAGACATGATGACCTTTTACAGTACAGTGCTCATTCAGTCGTGCTCCGCTCAGCCGGGCAGCGCTGGATACCAATGAGGCTTTGGAGACTTATCAATAAGGCACGGTGTAAATGTACGTGCATGTATCTGTCTGTATATGCGTTTCGACCGGTTCTTACTCTGTTATGATAAAGCCAGCACAAATTCCAGCTCGTCAGTTAAACTGCCGATGGCTTTTTAGTGATACTTTCGTCTCTCCTTAAGTTTCCTGCGATCTTTCTCTCAAAGTACCTCTGTCTTTTCTACCTTGACTCGCCTTCCTGTGCTTTTCTGTCTTCTTATCTTTCTTTGTTCTGTCCCTCCTTGGCTCGCACTGCCTCTTAGCATGGCTCCATACCGAATGCAGACCTCTAACACATGATCCAGAGCTACAGTCAGTCATCAGACCCTTCTGTCTGAGTATATCTCATGCTCTTGTAACATCCTCTGCCTTTCTCAGAGTCTGCATCAGATGTAAGCTCAACGGCTGTATGCATGAACCAGCCAAATCAAAGGTTTGAGTGATAAGACGCCAGCGAATGTTGTTTTCGGTAGTGCATCTTCAGAGGAAAGCCGTATCTGCAATAAGTAGATTTTTTTTGAGAATGAAGCAGAGAGGTCTATGGTTTTGAAACCCATTTATCTGATAGTGGGACTCAGCATGGGCACAGACAGGTTTTAAACGTTTAACAGGTAAGAAAACTCATTCAACACGTCAATTAACATGCCAGCTGAAGCGAGGAAAAGGAAAACACTGGGTTCCATGATTTCCCCCGACAGCAGTGATATGCTAACACAACCAGCACAGACCAGTTGTACTGAACAGAACTTCTCACCGGGTTGGAACCGAGAAGTCATGGGTTATGAAAAGATGCTCTCTTTTCTCTGTATACTATTCTGAGTTACCCATTCAAAGTATTGTGTGTGTACTGTTTGGAGTAGATGCTTGTTGATTCGCCTTTTTTGGGTCTCTTGCATGCAAGGTAGATGGTAACTGTTCTAAATGTCCTGCTTTAGGTCCTCTACTTTCAGTTACATTTACAAAGGCTCAGTGTCCTTAAGGCAACAGAATATCCTCCATTAAGACAATAGGCGTTTTTGCACCGTAGGCACTTTTTTGTAGTTCTAAGAACAGTTGGAAGAACCGCTCCCCTTTTTGTTGTGTCCGCACTGCAAGAGCTGGGAACGATCGTAGTTCTCAGAACACCGTTTTTTAGGCTCTACTTCAGCGTAGGTACTGTCCCGGCACAAGAGGAACGTCGAAAGATGTAAGTTTACATTGACTGGTCGAGCGGCTGGTTTGTCTCAGCCAGCAGCTAAGTTTACAATAACCTGACTGATGTTAAGATATATGGCAAGCTAATCTGAACAGTTGGACGACATACAGATACCTTTCATTTCAGTATGTAAGAATTCGCTATTAGCTGAGCTAGCACGTCAGAGCATATCAATACTACAGTCTTCAATAATTTTGCCCTGATGCCTATTTAATACGAGGTTACTAACCCATCCCTAGGTATTTCCCCCTGAAATATTTTGTTCAAGTGACATAAAACAAAATTTACCTGTCCTTGTACCTTGATGATATGAAGTAATGTTACTGCCAATTGTTGTAAGAGTTTTCATCTCTTAGCTCGCCATATTGCTCTTTTAACCGCATAGTTCGCACATATTTTTTCCAACTCCGTTATTGTCATGAAACTAACGACCCACAACAAACACGTGCTCACAGATCCGACCACGGCGTCTTCCAACTTGTTATCATGTGTTGTTGTCGTATGTCGTGCGGAAGCGTCGTTGCTATTCAAACCACTACCGGCCAGCCACGTCACTTCAGCATTCATCTTGGCGGAGTGAATGCAAACAGAAGAAAAGCCCTTGAAGGTATGTAGTTCTTGGGGGAGCTCCCCAGTTCCTCTATTATTATTATTATAGATTAAAGAACCTCCAACCTACCCATTACATTCAAGAAACTTCTGAACATTGCAGAACCTTGGTCACACTTTGGACTGTGTAAGAATGTTCTTGGACTTTATAAACAAGTTGTAGGGTTCTCGTATATTCAGGCGTAATCAGAAGCTACGTCCTTCTACAGCAGGGGTCGGCAAATAAATCTCGCATCAGGCCAATTTTTTTTAAGCCATTGCATGGCGGGCCAGAACAAAGTCAAATTATTTTAAATCCTTGTATACTCATGCGCACGTTTAGCTTGGCGGTACCGTGATACTAGTTTGAAAGGTTGTAAGATCGACTCCAACTCACTGCGGATATTTATTTCTTTAACAAATTGATTATAAGGACACTTTTGCACATACTCACAATAAAACATGTGCTGCTGCAGTGTGTGCGTCCCAGCGTTTGATACCCATTCATAAACCTAAGGACGCTTATTTTCATTTCCCTGAGGAAATTCAGGGAAATCCAATCGCACGTTTACTGACGGCTTTTTCAGAGGTGTGTCACGCAGGCCAGAGACTCTTTCGAGTGTCCTTCAGAACTCCTTAAAGTAAAAGCTCTCAATAAACTAAACATAAAGCATTATAGCAAAAAATGCTCTTGTGCTTTTATTTTGGAGGCACAATCACTTAAGAGGAAGTGATTATATGAGTAACTGTAGCTGTCATGACTGAGATCTATTTCAGCACCAGCCGCTATCAATTTCTTTCGGGCCAGATATTATAGCTGGCGTGCCGGTTCTGGCCCGTGTGCCGCCTATTGCCGACCACTGTTCTACATAATGAAGAATTAATGCAGGATGAAGAACCCTTCAGATATCCTGTGCTAGTTCTGGGAAAGCTCATAAAATCACATTCAAACATACCAAACAGTTCCTTTAAGGTCAGTAGGCGGTCAGTGTTGGTGGTAACAATTAGCCGTGCTAGTTCCCTGGAGTATGCATCGCATACAGTATAAAGTGGGACTTCAATTCAGTTCAATGGCTACAACTGTTACTCCACCAAAGTGCCGGACACCTGTGTTGGCATGCATTAGAGGTATTCTTTATAAGGCAGTATTAAAGAGTATACTCTGGTAAAGAACTTAATGAAAGGTTGATGTTATGGACTGTTAAAGGTTATTTAATAATTCAACATTTTATCACTGATGTTACATTAAACAGATGGAGACAAATCTACATTTTTACAGCAATGGAAAGAATCAGTTCATGTTAAAACAACTGCAACTGTTGTGGGGTTTTGTCTTTGACAGAACATTTTTAAAATAAATATGTTATCAATTTTTTGTCTCACAGCTTCAGGCTGACGCACAAAGTTTCGGGAGTCGTTGACTGTTGCTAGCTACAAGAAAAGCTGGCAGGTAATTTCACATACAGTTAGACAGATGACTCCATTTGAGTCAAGAGATTTAAGATATCTGTTCAAATGTGTTGTTCTGTTCAAACGAAACATAAAACTGAAGAACTTGCTATTATATTCATGGCTGTGTTGGAATGGGCATTCAGTATGGTGCTGGGTTTATATCGACTCCATTGTACATAAAAAACTGAACAGTGTCAAAGGTCGGATAAAGAGCCTGAACTGTACCGAGGCCACCTCTGCTCTGGTGCACATAGGAAGGTAAAGTCAGTCATCGTGACAGAGTTATTGTTCTCATTTACCATGTGAACATGATTAAAATCAAATTTTAATGAACATTTTTAAGGGATAAAGCTTAAGGTTTTTCTATCCAGGCATTTTTAATTATTACATCATAAAATTACATCACAAGGAGTCTGCACTAGCACGACTAATGCTAATGTGCCAGATGTGGCTAGCCAGCTAGCCTTTTAGCTTTACATTCTTACATACTTGAGTTTTAGTGATGCGAAATATTTTAAAGTAAAAGTTTAGTAAAAGTTAAAAAAATGTACAAACGCTACAAGTTTGTATTCTGATAATGAATTCTCAATAGTTGTACTGCATTACAACCCAACGCTGTGGTGACTGAAGTGTGCTGGGGCTTATCCAAGGTGCATTGTTTGTCAAGCTATGGGTCTATGAGTCAGGGCCATAAAGTAATATAAAAGTAATGAAGTAATATCTTCAAAGAAAAAATAACTTATAACATATGTGGACGGAGGATGGGAAAGATTTAAGAGTTCCTCTTGAAAGCTATCATGCTGTTTTTAGACACAAATAATAATAACAATGAAAAATAAAAAACTGCAGTTTTAACAAGAGATTCAGTATAAACTATTGAGAGTCAATAAACATCTAATACCAAGGCAATAAATGATCTAACAATAAAATTAAATGTTTCAATAAGAGGAAGAGATGGCTCTGAAGGAAATCTATCTATCTATCTATCTATCTATCTATCTGTCTAAAGTGGTATAGGAGTTAGACATCTCTTCCATTGCCAAAGCACCTGTGTGACAGCAACAACACAATCAACACAAAGTATAAACAGTCTCTCTAGTTCTGTTTCAGGGTTAACAACTGTGTGTTCAGTGTTTTTCAGTTTTGTCTTTGTGTTTTGGGTCTGAAACCTGATTTTCTGAGTCCGCCTGTGGAAAGTCTGTGAGCTGCATGCAACTGAACCGCTTTATCTAATCTAAGAATCTAAGCGAATCTAAGTTCACAGATTAATTTTCTATTGTTAAATTACTGTATGTATTGTTTGTTTTTTTATCTTTTGACTTGGTTTAGCTATATTTGTATAGTACTCCTCTTCAAATTACAAAGTGGATTAAGACTTTTGTGAATTTTCTTGAATATGTTTATTTATATTGCACCTTGTCCGAATTGTTTTCCTGCTCTTTTCTTATTTTGAGGGGGGTAGTTTTCTTTTCTTTTGTGCTGATTTGCCCTCTATGGCGACATGTATTCTAACCTCAATGAGGGACTTGTACAGTGTTACACTCCATTTTATCCTTTTTTGTCAACCTCGGCCACATTACCTCCCTGAGTTAAATTTCATTATCGCTCTCTGATTGTCAGATGCAGCAAAGCGATCCTGTTTCCTCAGAGACATAGCAGGAATATTCTCTCTGGTTCGGCTAAACTTGAAAAGAGTCTGCTTTTCTGGCTGACTTTATCTGCGTGTGCGGCTAAATTCATGTTAACTCTTTCTAAAAACATCTACCTTAATGTCCAATCAATATCAAAAACTCATTAATAAACTAGTAAATCACACACAGGGGCAGCTGTGGCTTAGAGGCAGAGCAGGTCGTCCACAAATAGGAAGATCAGATGTTTGATATCCGGCTTGGCCAAGACACTGATCCCCAAAAATGCTACCGAAGGGCATTAGTGTAAAAATATGTGTGTGTGAATGGGTGAATGTTGACGTAGGCTAGTGTAAAGCGCTCTTAATGGTCGTTATATGTGAGTGCAGTCTTTACAAAAGGAATCAACACCACTGTTACTATTAACTGAACTATTGTTGCCTCCTTGAATCCTTTTGTCTGTGCATTTAATATGAAGGTACAGAGCCAGTTAGCTTAGCATAAAGACTGAAAAAACAGTTTGCCTTGATCTGTCCAACACCAGAGCTTAATCAAATAATTAATCGCCTTCTTACCGAATTAGACGAGAAGATTGATACCACTATCCTATGTGTTTAATATGAAGCTATAGAGCCAGCAGCCACTTAGCTTAGCTTAGCATAAAAACTGAAAACAGGGAAGTTAGCCTGGCTCTGTCCAACAGTAAAAGAGTTAATTAACTGCTTAAAAGGAATAGTTAAGCATTTTGGGAAATATGCTCATTGGCTTTCTTGCTAAGAGCTATGAGAACATTGATACTCTCATATCTGTACAGCCAGCAGTCAGCTAACTTAGCTTAGCATAGAGAGTGGAAACGTGGCGAAAGAATTAGCCTGGCTCTGTCCAAACGTTTTTTTTTTTATCTTTTAAATGGACCTAACAGTAACTCTAAAGCTCAGTATTTGTGAGTAATTTAAGGACATTTAAGAGATAAAATTATTTGTTTTTCATGTGGGGTTTTTAGGCCCCACCCAAGTGGTTTAACTTAACCACTGAGGTTACTTCTGCTCTCATGACCGCACAGTCTGCACTATGATTTTGTGTGTAATATTGTGGCCTCGGTCGGACCTGTGGCTGTGTTACATAATGCTGTATGCCTTGTGGCTGTATAAAATAGCCCCCATGCTTAAGGGACCTGGTGTCTTCTAGTGAGCTACGTGTGTGTGTGTGCGTGTGTGTGTGTGTGGGGGGGGGGAATACACACACCTTGTTGCATTTTATTTATGTATTGTATGTATTAATTTGGTTATTTATTTATTTATTTATTTGTTCCTTGTTTATTGGTTTGGCACCTGTGGCGTATTTGACAATTTGTCAATACATTGGTGTATGATGTGGAGGAGGGGAGGGGAGGTGAATGGGTGGAGGGAGGGGGCACGTGGTCAATGGAAAAACCTAGCTGTGATACTAACTCTTAACTGTTGCTCTCCTCGTATTGGATGATGATATAATCTAAGACCACTGTATGTTTAACTGCTTGTCGTGAAGATGATCTACAGTGTAATGACAATAAAGAATTAACACTATGATGACACTCTGTAGACAACAAGCCAATCTGTTCTTTATAGATGGATGGATGGATGGGAAACAGAGCTACAGCACCACTGGCTGTGCAAATGTGGAAATGCACCAACAAACAGCAGTAAAACTAGAATGTTAATAGAAACGATCCACATCTTCAAAGGTTTGTGACTTTTATTTTTGTATAATTGGGACCCACATATTCTTAGGGCTGTAAAAATCAAATCACACTTTAAAAATGAGGTTCAGAAATTTTCTTTTTTTGTCTTAAAGTTTTACATATTCTCTAAGCTACTGTTAGTAACGTACAATCTTATGTTTATTGTTAACAAGGTGAAAAGTTGGTTACTTAAGTAAGTGGTCAAGTAGCCTATTGTCCGTTTATGCTACATACTTTTCACTTCTCTGCATGTGCAAGTGCTGGTTAGTTTTCAAATTAAGATTTTACAAACCAAACGTGTTTATAAAATATGATCTATTGTTAGATTTAACAACCAAAAGTATAAGAAGAAGTTAAAAGTAGCTCCACCATCCCCAACTACGCCAGTAAATTAGGCTACAACTTAACATATTAAGACATCAATAATAAGCTATAGCCTAACACAGGCTCTGCATTATGATAGGGCCTACTTTTGATACTTTAACTGACATTTTGACTAGGCCTAGTACTTTTACTTGGACTAATGGAGTGTGTTTAAAGTGTGTTATTGCTATTTTTACTTAAATAAATTATTTGAATAGGCCTAACGTTAGGCCTACTTCCTCCACCACTGACTTGACACTTTTTACACAGTCTCTGCAGTTCCACTTCCAGGCCACATATTATAAATTATAAGTAAACTATAAACAAATTTTCACTAGGGAAAAATATCCTGTTTTCTGTGTTTGCAAACTGTTTGGTAAAATACTCAGACACTGTTCTTAAAGCGATTTATGACAGTACTGTGTGCAATCATGAGCCAACAAGGCCGCCGGTGGCGTGTTTCTCTCATTTCTGCCGTTTCCCTCCTATATCTGATGCTTTCAAGTACTCCTCAAAAACTCGAACTTTATAGCTCTCTCCCATTTTCGCGCAAAAATCAAGTTTATTTTGCCAAAAAACTATAATGTGTACAATTCTTAACTGTTTCTTGTAGTTTATATGTGAATAAAGGAGGGAGAAAAGTAGGAATTTGCATTAGTTTAAAATATCCATTACCAACTGGATAGGCCTACAGAAAGAACCCAGCTCTTAAACATATTTTTATTTTTTCTCTATTTAAAGAAACATAATACATTTGTGTGTGGTGATGGGACAGTGGATAGGACATTTACCTTTGGCGTGAGAGACCCGGGTTCGAATCCACTGTGAGACACTAATGTGTCCCTGAGCAAGACACTTGCTCCTAATCGGGTTGATTTATTTCTTAGGTCACCAATGTGCGCTGTGAGTGTCTATAATCTGAGGGCAATTGAACGCAGCAAACGGTTTGACCCACTTTTCACACGCGCCACGGGAACGTTTCAGGTTCGCCAGAAAAAAACAGAGAAGTACCGGAAGTTAATACCCTGCCTTCAGAATAAATGTGTACATTTCAATCAACTTTTATCTCAGACACGTAGGTCCGTATCAGTAAAATAAAAAAAAAGACACGATACAAAATAAAGCACCAGATGATATCATAACAGACATTTTGTTCCAGTGTTTCCAAAAACACAAGGAATAGCTGGTATCACCTATTGTAGGATCAGATAAAGCTATAATGATTATATTTTTTGAGTTAATCAGCCAACACATAAATTTATGCATAAAATTTCGCAATACAGCATGAAGACCGGGAACATTACTCGTCACAAACATATGACTTGCACTTGTCCATCTTGGGATTCTGAATGCATCATTAAATGCTACCTGCAGCTTTTTCATTTTCACTTTACTATAACTGCACCCCAGGAAGGCTATATAGAGTGGAGTACAGTAAACTTTAAAAAAACAAACAAGCTATTTCTTATCATCAGAACACATATGAAATATGCCTGCCGGCATTGTCACCATCACATAATTCATCCCTGATTATATGACCCAAATATCTTACTTTATTCACCACATTTAACACTTGATCTGACAGACAAAAAGTAGGAAAGGTATGTAGGACTATGTAGGACAATGAACGCGGTCTGAAAAGGATCCCTGATGTTATACAGTTATTAAGTCGTTAATCTGTTGCTGTACAAACATCCTCTATTTGAGAAAACGTCTCATAGCGTTCCCGCAGCGACCATGATTGTGAAAGTCTTAACCGGAAGTGCTTCGTGTCCTACTCTGAGCTACCTTCACACTGGTTCCGCGTGTTGATACCGAAGAGAGAGGATCTAGGAGAAACAAGTTCTTCACACCGACACGAACCCAAACTCAGGCCCAAATAAGAGGAAGATGGACATGAAGAAGAGGGTCTCCTTAGAGCTGAGGCACCGGTCGCCGACAGAAGTGAGTAAATCCCGGTTTGTTGTCTTTGTTTATCGGTTTAACGTTAAACTTGAACCGGCCGGAGAAGAGGAGCACATGGCAGGGTGTCTGCAGGTCCCGAAAAGTGCCCAAAATGAGTGTTTACTGTTTAAAGATAAACCCCAAGATGATATAAACTCTGGAAGAGTGTTTAATTAAGTCCTTTTAATGTTTAAATTCACCACCGGAGCTCCTTAGTTTTATCACGGGTAAACAACGCAGCTGTTTACCGCCTTGTTTTACCTTCACATATATTCTCACCTTTAAAGCTCAAACTTGGCTTGAACGCTGTTTAATTGTTAGTTATAAACAACATATGTGAACTAAAGTTGCACCAGCCTCCTTTTGGGGCAATGAAACGCATATCCGCGCCCCCACGGGGCCTGGCTAATGTCTGGGACCGCTTTATTTCTAAGTTATAAAACGTGTTGTAGCTTCATTAACATGCGCAGGTACACAATTTAAAAACACAGTGCATTTTAATTTGTTCTGCCGAAGAAGTCTAATACCAACTGCATTTAAACAATCGCCAAATAAGTAACAGTCAATAACGATAATAGTAACGTTAGCGGTATAAAACGAGTCGTCACGGTGTTGCTTTTATCGTTTAAGTTTAGGGGAAAGCAGGAAATGCGTCACTTGTTTTTTGTGTTACGCACCGTAATGCCGGTTATATCTTGACACATTATTAGTAACTACAAACCCATCTTAAATCAAGCTTTACAGCGTCCAGTTTATACGTTTAAAACCCCTCTTATATGTTATTTATCACATGCCCAGATATTAGACGCAGCCCGGGTTCATAACGTGCTGAGGGCGCGGAGCCAGCGGCGTGCTAAACGCTAACCTGCTAACGTGGCTACTTTAAGTGCGCTTGTTTTTCTACAATCTCCCCCTTTACTCCCCTAAAAACTTCACTCTTAACCGTGTCGTTTTCACGTTGGTCGTTCGCGGGGTCAGGATTTGGTATAATTACAGCCAGGATCGGTTAGCAGAGCTAGCAGGCGAGCTAACGTAGCAGCGTAACATGTGTTGGGAGTTTACAAACAAAACGGGACAGGGGTCCTTAAACGTTACACGGAGACCTGACAGACTCTAGCTCTTCATCTGGGATGCTCTGATCAATAAACAGTAATTGGAGGTGAGTTCTATTAAAATAATAGTAATTAATTAAGCAAAAATGCCAAATAAAACTAAGCTTAGCATGTGTGGAATAATAATAAATCTAATATTTACAGGGTTTTATGCTCTTGTTCAGACAAAACTTGTGAGGGACAAATATATTTCAGACACTTTATGGACCAGAGGCTTAATTGATTAGGCCAGAGAGTTCTTCAAACAGTGTTAGGGGACGCTCAGTGAATGGGAGTGAAACAATATTACATTAGTTATCAAAAGGATGTCACAAAGTACAGCGTGGCACAAGGGTCTTTAAACATTACATTGAGTTATTGGAGGTGAATTCTGGGAGCGAATAAATTTAAAATAAGAACAATTAAATTAAGCTTTTTAAAGCCCAAAACAGTCAGCTTTGCATGTGTGAATAATAATAAACCTAATTTATAAGGGATAAATTAGGTTTTGTTCAGACAAAACAAATGAAAAATTGTGAGTGGCTTGTTTTTAAAACATTTCTGACACTTTATTGATTAGGTCAGAGGGGTTTTTTAAGGTGTAGACCAGGCATCAAACTGTTTCTACATCCACACTACTACGTTTTTGTTTTAAAACGAAAATGTTCTCCGTCCACAGTTTTAGCTGTGTGTTAGAATTGATCTCTGTTTAATTATTAAAACGACTGAAAACACTCTACTGGCCGTTCACGTGCACTGAGCATGCCAAGGTGTAAACAGGAAGCCGACAGTCTACTCTGCAGTTGTAGAAGATTGAGCATAAGAAAAGTACCACTACAAACGAACGAAGAATTGCAATGTCCAAGAACCACACAAGAGATGTTTGTGCATGGACTGACAACAGTTACTGAAGGTAACACTGGAGTACAACGCGATTTTGGTGGCGGAAAACAGACTTTGAGTCGTCGCAAAGTAAGTACGGCAACATGCACAGTACAAAATATTGTAATAAAGATAACAAAACTTAAACACTGTCAGTGGCATCGTGTTTTTGCTTTGCATGACTTATAAAATCCAATCGGGAAGACGCACGTGAGCGTCATCGTTTTTAAATTCCTCCGTTTTCGCCTGTCCGCTCTAAAACGCTACCCAGAGTTTTAAAACAAAAACCGGCACAGCAGCATTTTCAGACTTCTCCGTTTTAGTCTGTGTTTTAAACGAAAACGTGTCGATGTAGCCTCGGTTAATGGAAGTGAGTCAGTATCACATTAGTTATTAAAAGCAGGTCACAGAACAGCCGGTATGTGTGTCATTTGGTTAAAGAGTTCAGAGATACAGCGGTTTTAAGGAACTGTTAAAATTCCTGAGGACAGACTTTATGTATTTGGATAATCTAACATAATCATGATCCTGTAGGCATCCAGGAGTGAAACCAAGCAGGTAAATTGTGGCCAAGCTTTGTCTGAATGGAGGCCCGTGCAGTCTCAGACCCTGCATCAGGCATGTCAAAAAAAACTGACAGGTTAGTCGACCGTGAAAATGATTATCTCCTGGTCCTCATTATAACCGGGTATTGTTAGAAATTGATGCATGTACGGATTCAACACACAGTGTTTGAATTATCGGCTCATAGAAGTGAGCTTCAGACACAGTTGAGTTGCCAGTGAAAAGGCCCTGCCCCTGATATGTTCAGTAGTAGTAATGAATGATGGGAAATACCGGGATTTTACAGCACTGTCATCTTTCACTTTGAGAAGGCTTAACACCAAGTAGCGGCGCTTGTGGGTGTTAAAATGACTGTGAGTTAGTCATACGGACACAAGCCATCGTCAGATCAGGAAATTAAGGCCATAGCAGGGCTGCATGAGCCACCAGCCAGTTAAAAAAACACCAGAACTGCTGCGTATAAAATCTAAACACAGAGGAGACCAGTTTGTATTTAGCTATAAAATGCTGCAGTTGTTGTGATGCACGCGCCTCGTTAACAGCCAGCCAATCAGGAGCCAATTTCAGCCTGTGTATAACTTAGTGTGTCAGACTGGACTAACACCGTCTCCCTTTCTCAGGTCCAGGAGCTGGTCCTGGATAACTGTCGCTCCGGCGAGGGGAAGATCGAAGGAATCACAGCAGAGTTCTCGAACCTGGAGCTGCTCAGCCTCATTAACGTCGGCCTGACCAGCGTAGCAGACATCCCCAAACTGGACAAACTCAAAAAGGTAAGAGGACGGGACGCTTTCAGAGTGACTGGTGCACGATATGTTTCATGAACAAACATGTACGTATCGTGGTTACAGTGGTGGGACTCAATACATTTACTAATTTTGAGGTATTTTCTTTTCATGCCCTTTTCTACTTCCCTACATTTATCTGACAGCTTCAGTTACTAATTACTTTACAAAATAAGCTTTTTACCCAAAAAACACGAAGAGTTTATAAAATATGTTTTGCTATATATTAAACTAACCAACAGTTCAAACAGATGCAGGTTTTAACATAGTGTTAAAATGTTGTGATGTTGGTACAAAATAGTTCAACCTCAACAAGCAGTAAAATCTGGCTTACATCAGTGTTTGAGTAATAAAAATCTCATTACATAATACTGATATAACAATCACAGGGGGCATTTTACTGCATTAAGTACTCAACATTTTCAGTGCAGTACTTTTACTTGTAATTTTACAGTGTGGTATTAGTACTTGTACTCGAGTAAAGGATCTCAATACTTTGTCCTCCACTGTGTGGTTATCTTGGTGGTGTTTGCAGTGACTTTATTTATCAGGGATGTGATTTTTGTCGGCCCACGTGAATCATGCAGATCTGTAATTTAAAAAAAGGGGGGGGGGACATCTAGAGGCAGACGTCTGTAAAGTTTTCTTCCTTTCAAAGTATCAACCAGGATGTTCGTTTGCGTTCAGCTGCCCTTTCCACACCTGCGCAGTATGAACCACAGTCGCGCATCAGTGGTACGTAACGTGTTGGCCAGTAATACTGCAATATTACTTTTCCCAGTAAAGAATAGTGTGACAGATTACTATTGGAAATAGTAATCTGTCACACTATTAACTAAACAGTAATGTTATTACAGTTACTAATCATATTAGGGCTGCGCTACTGAACGCACCATCCCTGATGTGAATGCGCAACCGCGCTGCAGCTCAGCGGCGCTTCTGCTGTTCAAGTCAGCTGTTAGCCAAAAAGGAAGACAGGAGAACAGGGACAGAGAGGTATTTTCGACAGCTGTAAGTAACGTTGTTGCCATTATTGTGTCATGCAAAGAACATTGTTGTCCGTTGTAAACTTTGTGCGACCAGCAAAAAGCTTTTAACCGCGAACAATTCTACATTGACTGACTTAAACTAATTGATCAGCTAAAGCAAAACAGCAACTCCGGCCGCTACTGCCAGTGATGCTTGGACTCATTGAGAGAGAGTGGCGTTATATTATCCAATAATAAGTAGGCAAGAGTAGCTAATATTACTTTTTTAAGGAGTAGCCTATATGCTAAGTAACTAGGTAAGAACTAAATTATTTCTGAGAAACTTGCCCAACACTGAGTTGACAATAAGCATCGGATAAATTGGGTATGTTTTGATTATTGCTTGTTAGAGGCTAATGTTTACTTTGACTTTGTCTATTGATCACTCGTATAGCCTGTATACACTTTGCTGTATGAATGGTTGCTTTTTAAGTCTTTATGTCCTTATGTTAAAGGTTTTGGCACGTTATAAATTAATTTCTTGTGAATGGTTGTGACGGGGTTTATAAGGCCTTTTCAGACGGCTTTGATCCGCGGGGTCGCTCTGCGCTCCTCATCAACAGACAGGCAAACAAGCACTCCACGAACTCCACGAGGTAACCTGGGCAACGGCTTCTGTGTAACTAGCGTGATCCCGCAAAACTGCCGCGGTTCTCGTCTCACGCCCACTGCCAGAGTTGAAATACAACATTTTTTCCTACAGTTTATCAACAGACAGACTGATCTGCTGTTTGATCCGAGTTTCCTAAATAATATAACTGTTTCAGGCCACCAGGTCTTAAAAAGGAGACAACCTTTGCTGCTGCCTCTTATTCATTAAAAATAATCTTCTTAACTTCTACCAAACTAATTTGAAAGTTAGTAGTTATATTATTTAGTTATACAATCAATTGTTTCATGTTGCACATGTAGCTGTTGAAGTTTGGTAAAAAATGAATACAAAATAATAATTATAGAGGTGGCGAAGGCGCAGTGGATTAGACACTTGTCTTTGATTCCCACTGCAACACATCCACCAAATAAGTTATTATCATGGGTCCTGCTTTACCATCCATGTTATAATAGAGCCGGCGCCAGTTTTATCAGGGTGTGTGTGTGTGTGTGGGGGGGGTGATAAGCTGATGAGCAGAAACATCCTGTTTGCAGCTTCTCAGTTCGAGGATTTGATGCTGCTGTTTCTCATGTACGATCGTAAACTGAGTAACTTTGAGATTTATACTGTTCAGATAAAACAGGCAGTGTGTTGGCTTTTACATTTGGCTCAGTGAAATTATAATTAGTAATTTTATTTTCTTGCCAAATTTAATAATAGATTATTTAAAAATTAGAAAAACTAGTCTGATCTCCAATCATTGTGATCAATAAAGATTAAACTCTAGCACAGTGACTGTGATTGTTGTTTAGGTTCGATTCATAAATCAGAAAGACTTGGACTGATGAATGTTTTGATTAACAGACTAAACAAAATTAAATGTGTGATTTTGTCTCTCGTCCCTGCAGCTGGAGCTGAGCGACAACAGGATATCAGGCGGCCTGGAGGTCCTGGCCGAGCGGCTGGTGAACCTAACGCACCTCAACCTCAGTGGAAATAAGTTCAAAGACATCAGCACCCTGGAGCCGCTGGTGAGTCGAAGTAACTCGTTCACCTGCTGAAATACTGAAACAGCCGGCGGGTTTCGGATCATCCCAAAAATATTTTAATTCATCATCAAACATGTTGCTCTTCTTAACTTCATGCTGCACGTGTCAAACTGGTGATTAGTAATTTCTGACTTCCTCCTCCTCGTTTTCACACCAAAGAGGGGGAAGTTTCTTCAGCGGACCAAACAGAGAAGTTGTTCATATGTTCATCTTCAGAGATTAAATGTGTTGAGGTATTAGTGCTGACAATAACGATAAATGGTGAGATAAACAAAACGCTTGAAACGCGGGGAATCAGAAAACTAATGTCGTTTAGTTATGGGCACTGAAACAGAGTATTAAACAGGCCAAGTGGGGAAAAAAACAATTTCATTAATGCATCTGTTCAACAAGCATAAACATGTAGAAAGAAACAAGCTGAGAGGAAAGGCGTCTGTCTGTAGTCTCAACTGTTTCATTTAGTTCAACATGTTTTAAACTCAGCTGCTGGCTGAGACAAACCAGCTGCTCCTCTCTACCAGGTAACTTTACCTGCAGGCAGTGACTAACAGCAGGGAGGAGGAGGAAGGACTGATGCTGACTGATGTCTGAAATCTTGAATCTTTCTGTACGTCACTCAGTATTTTGATGTCAGATACTGAGTTAAAACAGTGGCACGTGTTTCAGACATTGTCTTCACTTGGTAAAATACTTGTGTGGTGTTACGTTACAAGTCGTGGACCAGGTAAAGCAACAGTGAACACGCAGAGTGCCGATGTTGGTTTCGGCTGTTTGATAGGCTGCGTCATTAATAAGCCGGCATGTGGCGCACCTGCTGCTGTGATAACAGATTGCGGTAAAATCTGGGAAAAGATATGAGAGTCTGTGTCTTTTGGTCAACTTTATAAAACATACTGCTGATGGAGAAAGTCAGGAGAGCAGAGAGAGGCGGGACAAGCTGGTGTGTTTCCAGTGAGAGACCAGGGGTTTAACTGTAGAGGCGTGCGAGTGTGTGGAGAGAAAAAGTCCGAGGCAGGTGCGAAACAGGTCGATTTTAAAAAGGTGAAACATTTAGTAATATTTAGAGCCTGACCGATTTATCGTTTTGATAATAAAGAGAAACGGTCGGATCATTCCCTCATGTCATGAGTGTTGCACAGTTTTCCCAGCAGAGGGCGCTGCAGCTCCTCTGTTCAAAACACTGCAGCACCACAGAACAAAACATCAGCTGACCGCAGTCTACAGGAGCTCAGAGCGGCTCACTAGCGGTGAAGAGCTCCTGGTAGAGCTCACACTCGCTGTTCACAGAGTTGGTCTTTAGCCCTCATCACTTTTCCTCTTCGGACCACAGACTTCCTAATCCTCCTGATTTCACTGCCCTCTCCAGGCTCACAGCAGTGGAGGAGGCTACGCTGCTGACGGACGTGAATGTGGATTTATTTCGGAAACAGTTTGGCAGTTCTAGCAACCGGTCCGCTCATTTCTCTCCAATTTATGACGCCAACAAATAAATGAATAACCGTGAGCTGAACAAGTATCTAACACACAGTTGCAGGTCCTCGTTGTAGACAGTCGTGTAGTAATAGATTAATCCGAGGGCAGCGTTTCCTCTGCGTCACTGTATCATAGAGCGTGTTGGGAAATCGTTTCTGTAGCATTGGATGGAATTAACAGATTGCAGGAGATAAATTAGTCCTTGTGGCGGATTATATCGCTCCCACAATACATACACTATTTAATGTTCATTAATGGTAGTAGTACTCTATAATTTATAATAAATCAGATATTTTAAAAATGTTTTCCGTAGTTTTATACATTTGACTTTAACATATTTTGTTTATTTCTAACGATAAAGTTTATTTTTAACTGCATTACGTCAGTCATGGTATCCTGGTGAGGTCTCAAAAGAACTAACGTTAGGGATAATCTTTGTTTGTTATGCATTAACATCGGCCGAAATATCTGCACATAGGATTTTAAATCCTCAAGTATCGAAATAGGTATGGGACATAAAATCCCAAATCAGCTGAGCTCTAGTAATTTAAATTCTAACCCTGTTCTGAATTTAAAAACAACCAGGAAGCTGATACGCACTCCAATTTATTTTAATAGATTTTCTTCATATAATGTTTGAAGTGCGATTTTAATTCACATTTTTAATTTGTGCAAAAAAAGTAGTAGAAGTAGAGTAGAAAAAAGCCAGAAAATTGGGAAAAAGTCAGAATTTCATGAAATATTTTTATGCTTTGCTGAGAGAGTAACGAATACTCCAAACTATTCTCTGTCCGGAGCTTCTACTTAAATAAAATATAAATGTTAGCAGACTAAAACATCCAATCTGTGCGGAGCGAAGACGAGACTGACCTTCCTCACATTAACAGAAATATCATATTTCCATCACGTCTTCCAGGTTGTTTTTGTTTGTTGGAGCTCGACTGGCGCTCGTCCCAATAACCGATCAAACAGGTCAGGTAACCTCGTCTGTCTCTGCCCCGTCAGAAAAAGCTGCCCCAGCTGAAGAGTCTCGACCTGTTTAACTGCGAGGTGACCAACCTGGCCGACTACAGGGAGTCCATCTTCAAGCTCCTCCCCCAGCTCATCTACCTGGACGGCTACGACATCGACGACTGCGAGGCCTCCGACTCTGACGGTGAGGGGGACGGCGTCGAGGATGAGGACGAAGAAGGTCGGTGTTTAAACAATGTTGCGTGTAAAAATAAAGAATTGTCTCATAATAGGAAGATAATTTAAGTTTTTCATCGTTTTTTTTTTGTGAATTTCCCCGTTTCTGTATTCCAGAGGGCGAGTCGGAGGACTTTGAGGAAGAGGAGGAGGAGGATGAAGAGGACGTAGTGGCTGAAGATGACGACGATGATGATGACAGCGGTGACGATGAGGTGAGTCTGGATTTATAAAATACTTCTGCACCAACCTCGTATTAAAAAAGTGTTTCAGTTAGTGAATCAGTCTGAAGGCCACGCCGTCTACACAGAGCTCTGAGGGGGAGGAGACGGTCGATGGTTGTGTCTCTGTAAATAAAGTTTATTATAAATAAATAGTCTGACCACGCTGCAAAACGCAGAAATCAGCCGTACTGTTCAAAGTTCTATTTATAACAATAAGAAAGTTCATTTTTAAACTGCATTATGTCATATTAACGTGGAGAGGTCTCATAACTACTCACAACAAATGTCAGGGATAATCTCAAGTCAAAAATCGGTCAGTGTGTGAGAATATCGGACTTTAAAATCCTCATATCAAAATCGATATTTGTCTTAAAAATCCCGCGTCGTGTCCCTGTAATATATATATATATATATATATATATATATATATATATATATATATTACAAGAAGAAACTGGAAATGACGCGAACCTACAGACAAACCAGCTGTTGTTTGTTATTATGAAGGAAAAGAATCTGGCTGAAAAGATGGTTTAGCACACGCAGGTAGCAGAGACTGTCTGAGCTACCGAGAGAGCTGGAGGTCAGTAAAAAGTGTTCTGGTCCTGGGATTTGAACATCCATCTTTTCTGTCTGCAGGACGGAGAGGTGAACGGAGACGTGGACAGTGAGGACGATGACGAGGATGAGGACGATGACGAGGAGGATGGTCAGTAGCAGCGTGGCTCCTTTACTCCCGCACAATCCTCTTTGAGCAGCTTAAGCATTTTATTTAACTTTTCCTCCATCAGCTCGAGGACTTTTATTCTCTTTGTCGCCAAAAAAAATCTATTATTTAAATGTTTACTTTGTGTAACTTCATGAGGAGTTGTGGTTTTTAAATATTTCCTCATAATCTAATTTAAAAAAACAAAATATATATTTTTAAATCAGTCTACATTTGTGGTGATAAATCCTTTGTGCTGTATATTCCCAGGATCATGTAATGCTTATGAAGTGGCTGTTGTTAAACCTCCTCCTCTTCCTCTGCAGATGAAGACTCGTCTCCGGCCAAAGGAGAGAAAAGGAAGAGGGACCCTGAAGATGAGGATGATGAAGATGATGATTAAGGACCCGTGGACACCCCGCAAACCCCTTGACCCCCTCGTCCGTTAACCTCCACCTTCGCCCTACATGACCTCTCCAAATCCCCAACCAACGCTCGCCCTCCTCCTCCTCCCACACTCGGTCGACTCCTGGGCTGCGTCTCATTTCTCAAACTGGTTTCCTTCCCGCGCTCTTGTCAGCCCGCCTCCCACAGAGCGAAGCACCTGTCGGACAACTTCCGTTAATCTATAAAATTAAGTTTACATGTTTCTTAATTTTTTCTTTCTTCTTCTTTTTTTTTTTTTTACCCTTTTCGTCTCTCAAAACTTTGTTCCAAGCCCTGACTTTTGAAATTCATATTTTCACCAGACCCCAGTTATTCCTCGAGTCCGCAGAGAGACGAACGTCTAATAACATTTTAAAAGTCACAAGTTCCCGCTAAGAGCTCAACCTGGATTAACTTCCTGTTGCTAATTATTACTGTCTGGCATCTTTCGCGAGAGCTTCAAATTCACAAATCAGATCAGAACAATTATTTTCATGATCAATTAATCTGCCCGTTGTTGTCGTGTCGAATCATTTTGTCTGTAAAATGTGAGATTAGTGTGAAAAATGCTCATTATGATTTCCCAGAGCAGAAAGCGACGTGTTTGTTTCATCCACACCGTCCAAGCCCAAAACCCCAAAGAGAATCCGGTAACGCTCACATATGACAACGGACAGCAGAGTTTTAGAGGCTGAAACCAAACGATCTTTGGAAGTTTTGTTTTAAAAAAGACTTGATTATCAGATTAATTGTATCCTGTCAGTCGCCTGATGGTTTCAGCCCTTCAACACCTTGTTGCTCATTAATTACAAAATATGGAGCAACATTGAGCATCACAAAGGCGAAATTTGGACCCAACTGATTTCATTTAATTTCCCAAAAGCCGCTCTTATCTTTATTGATTTTGGTGTTAAATCTGGTAAAGAATATGTATGAAAGAGAAGCCTTGTGGGTAATTTGAACTCTAAATCTTGACCGCGGTAATAGGAAGTAAATGCATCACGAGTCACAAGAAGCTGAAAAACGAAGCATCACAGAGGCGAGACAGAAGATTAAGTTACTCTGTGTAGTTTTCTTCTTTCTTTTTTTCTAAGATTACAAACTGTCTCGATCACGGGAGACGACGTTGATTTATATAATAATAATAAAAAAATCACTTTTCTTTTTGTCGCTATGCAATGTCAAAAAAATAGTTTTGACAAGAAAAATAATAAGTTTGTGTTGCGTCTGAAGGAGGCGGAACAAGAGCTCGCGGGAGTTAAACGGCACATTTAGGAAGTAAAACCAAACCCTTTATTCCTCCTTTTCATTTCCCCCCCACCCCAAATGTCCCCATGTGTGACATCGCCACTCTGGGACTGAACCAGCAGCTATGATGTCATCACTGCGCTCCCAGCAGGCTCTGTGATGTCATCAATGGACAGTCAAACCTAGTGAACCCCCCCTCACCTTAAACCTCCATCCCCCCCGCGGCCGAGCGCGCTCAGGGCAAACTGTGTTCTCTCTTTTTTGCCAACAGAGCTTTTTAAAAGAAATATTTTTTCAGAGAAATTTTTTTGTTTCATTTTGTATTGTTGTCTGGGGTCTCTCTCTCTCCCTCCCCCCCTCTCTCCTTCCCTCTATCTCCCCCGTCCCTGCTCAGTAGAGAGATCCAGCTGATCCTTCACACTTACACTGACTAGTTGTTGAGGTTGTGTTTTTCTTTCCTTTTATTTTTTTTTACTTTCTGTAAGTTAAAGGAAAAACAAACAAAAAAAACACACAAAAAGGACTTTGTAAATAAAATCTTAACATTTTGCTCCTGGCGTTTCCTCTCTGGCCTTTTCTCTCCTTCATACATGAAGTTTCAAGTCATGAACAAAGACGCTTTTGAACTGAAGGTGGCGCCATGATGGAAAGTCAGAAATTCACCAAAGTAGAGCCTGATTGATCAGCGAGTCGAGCAGATTTAATGGCATCTGCGTATGTCAGCTCACAGATAACGAGAAGTTTCAGTAGAGAAATGTTTATACACTGAACAAAATTATAAACGCAACTCTTTTATGTACAGAGTCTTAGATCTTTGAGTTAAGCTCATGATGAATGAGGGCAAAAACAAAAGTGTTGCGTTAATAATTTTGTCCAGTGAATGTTCAGATATAATTTAGAAACCGTGACGAACCAATAAGGAGTCAAACTACTTAGCAGTGATGGAAAGTTACTAAGTACATTTACTCAAGTACTTAAATACAAGCTTGAGGTATTTGAACTTGTAGTTGTACTCGTCCTGTTGTACTTTTTAGTGCACTACATTTTGGCATGTTATGGAGTTTGCCGATCTAGTTAATACAAAATATATATAAATAATATAAATAACTGATAGGTTATAGACGTGGTTCCTGTGCAGTACTAATTTTGATTTTAGTCATTTCCAGGTCTGGATAACTATGGAAAAAAGAAAAGGGAGTATGGAAAATATGATCCCAGACTATTGGCCCTACTCTGTTGTGATATATTGATCTCAAAAGTGTTTTTCATTCTGTTTGCAGCCAAAATGTTGACCACCGTGTGAGGGAGCGTTGAAATCTATGTCAATATGAGGGTTAAGGAATCACTGATGTACTTTGGTTAATTATTTTACAGGAAATGTTACTTATTATCTCCCCACTTCGTCTTAGAGCTGTGCCAGTGCTGGAAAATGCTCTGGCTGAATCCGTTATTCCGGTACAGGAGGAAATAAAATGCTCTGGCTTGTAAGTATTTCTTTAAACCATTTTCAGTGTGTAGGTTAATGCTTCCGGGGTTGTTTCTGTTGTTTCACCTGAAAATAAGGAGGGGAGGAGAACGCCAACTGAAAAACTGTAAGATTTAAATTAATAGCTCAAGCTTTTATTTGCTTCAATCACTGAACCCACCCTGCCTGTATTTAGGACCTTTAATTCCTTAGACACCAAAACTCTTGATCAGCAAAGGTGGGAAATGGGCAACGATCAAATTGTTTATTTCAATACAGTAAAACAATCCAGTTTGAATATTGTATAAAAATGAGAACATCAATAATGGATCATAAATTAGATTTAGTTCTTAGAGAGAGAAACTACTGTAGAAAGGATAAAAGCCGAAGATTACTGTAGGTATTTCAACATAGAGTAATTTGCATGAAAGACTGTTTTTTATTACTTTGATCAGTGGACCCTTACGGACTGAAGGAATATTAATAATCTGGAAACGGACACACATTCAGACTTAATGATGATCACAAAAGGTCATCGCCTTTTTTCGTCTTTGCTTAGCATACCAGTGAAACTGATTAAACTGTGGGGAATCGAACTGATCTGAAGATTTATATTTTTATGCTTAGAACGAGCTCACACAGTTGACCATGTGGGCTTTCAGAGGTTTATTACATCCAGACGACTTCTATAAAAAACAGACCCGGCTTCTAATTGAGACCTGCATTTATTTGTCAAAGCGTGTTAGCCGCACCAGGCCACTAAACGGGAAAGGCAACATGTCTACTCAAGTTAAGAAACAACACACAGACACTTCCAGTTATTTTGGGCAACATAAGCTCCACTTTTACCAGCTGCAACGTTAAAGTGATGAACTCATTAATGCTAAAACTTACTTGCGTCAAATTTTAATGCAAGACTTAAGTGTAATCTGGCCGAAATCTGCCATTTTGAGATAATTGGCTGATACCTGCACCCCCAAGGCCGATATATCTTCCTAAATGACAGCAGATCTCATCTAAAAACATTACTAGCTAGTGTTAATATATGTTGTTACTGTAGAGAATAATGCGGCTGAATGACGTCCCTTCTGACAAACTGTACCCCGCTCAACCATAAACACCAGTCACACTGTGAAACCTAAAGCAGAACCCAGTGTTTCTCTTTCATTCATTAATGAATCTAAAACAGCACTCAAAAAACGTGTAACAGAGTATTTCAGCACTGTTGTGTTGTTACTTTAGCTCAAGTAAAAGATCTCAGTACTTCTTCCACCTCTGCGGATCAGTGCACATCTTTGTCACAGTTCTGTAATATCAAACTTGTTTTCACTGCCCCAAAGTGGCCACAGGTTAGGTTACTGCGGTAATGCTTAGTGAAACTTAAAACCCTGAGTTAAGCCCAAAGATAGCTGGTTAACCCATTATTCTTTCTTTGTGACATGGACCCGTGGCGTTGAGGACACAAATATAGACACTATTCATTATATGTCTGTTTGGTGTTTGCTTAGAAGTTGCCTGAATCAATGGCTTTAGTTTATTATTTAATTACAAACAATTATGTGCAGATGACAGTTTCCTATATGGGTTGAAAATGTTTGAGTGGTTTGATTGGTTCAGTGCCAGAAAAGCGGTGTTAGAGCTGATTGGTTGAATCAGAAGGTCGCCCGCATGTTGTTTCTGGCGTTTCTGATGTCCAGCTCCAGCTGAGCGATCCTCACCTGCACAACAGAAACAGCTGACTTATTGCCATTAAAAACAAACCTTACATTACGATGTTAAATGGTCATATGATGGTCCATTTTGTGCAGACATTTAACCAACTGCTAATAATTTGTCTAATAAACAATTACATTTTGTTCCTGATTGGCCCAGTGGAGATCAAATGTTTCGCTGTAATGTGCCGCTGTGAGAAGCTTTCATCTTTCAAAGTGTTTTAGCTTTGATATCAGAATGTCAGCTGACCGCCCTGTGTTTGTATGAAGGACAAAAAAAAAAAAATAATAAAAAACTAAATGCAGAAATAGGTGAGAAATACATTTTGATAATGAAAATGGCTATTTCTGTACTTCTACATTTATTTATTTATTTATTTATACAATTTAAAACGGATTTCTGTATTTCTACGTTTATTTATTAATGTTTGCTTTTATTTATTTCTGCATTTCTGCATTTATTTATTTATTTCCACAATTAGAAATTTATTTCTACATTTATTTATTTCTACAATTTAACATTTATTTCTGTATTTCTATGTTTATTTATTTATTAATGTTTGCATTTATTTATTTCTGTGTCTGTATGTAAATTGTTTGGGTGGGGCCAACATCAGTCTGAAGGCGGATTGGTTACAGCGATGTGATTGGATGTACACAGAAGCTTAGCCTTTAAGTCTCCACCAGCAGTGCTTGAAGTGGGTCGGTACTCACCTATACAAGGTGCCGGTACTCTTTCTTCTCTCTCCATATCAGGTTCTCTGAGCGGTTCATATGGCCCTAAACAAACTGCATTACCCAGAGGACACTATGTGACCCTCACCTGTTCCTGTTCTCGCCAACCTGCTTTTCTCTGTCGGTGGAGACTGAGTAGGGAGAAGCTTGTGGGCCTTGCTTGTATACGTTCTTTTCATAAAGGTGCTCATTAATGCCACTTTTCGTGAAGCGACCAATCACAGCCTGGATGGGGCGGGACATTAAAAGAGGTTGGTATGTGCAGCAAGCTTGAGAAATGTTGAACTCATTGTTGTGCATTAATATTTATGGTTATTAACACGTTAGCATTAACAGATTAGAGACTAACAACCGTGCAAAGCATTTTTCTTGCACAATAATTTAACAAATGACAACCCATTAAAGAGAACTGCAGTTTGTCCGACTGAAATTAGCTTGTGTCGTGTAGATGAATCGTTTGCTTCTGTCTGGTTTGCTGTGCGGCCCCCAGCTAATCCTGCTTCAGACTTCTGGTGGCACCACCCACTCAATTAGGATAAAGGCACAAAATAAATAAATTTAGAAGAAAATGTAGAATACAGACTTGGCTTTTTTCATTAGCAAAATGTATTTATTTGTAATTCACTTATGTATTTAATTATTTTACTTATTGTCCTTCGTATGTGTGTGTGTGACTGTATTTGAATACTAACGTCTTTTTGATTAAGTTGTTCTCTCAGGTCTCGAATCTCTTCTTGCTGTCTGTAAAATGCTTGCAGGAGCTGAAATAAAAAAGAAAATTTAAATACGCTTCTTGGCGGGAAGAGGAGGTTTTGTCGTGTACACATCTGATTAACTCGCACCTCGCTCTCGGTTGTAGGTGGCGGCCTCTCCGCTGGTTCGCAGCAGTGTGGCGTGCAGCAGTACGTCCACAGTGGGATATGGGTCTCATCTGGCTGCCACCCCGACAGATCGCTCACCTCTCTGGGGTATTTGGCGTCCTGGTAGGCCAGCTGCTCCTCAAGGAAGGCCTCAAGAGAGATGATCAGTTGGTTTATACAACAGCAACACAGCTAGACAGAACTTTGAGCCACATTAGTTTACTGATGGAGAGAAACATCTTATTAGTGATTATACACTGTATGGTAACAGGGTAACACTATCTGTGGCCTGTTGCCTTGGGCACTGCACGGCACAGGAGCTCAGCGTTCAGTTTTTGTATTAATTGGTCTGTATGGCAACGTTTGAACGGATCGTCACGAACCTTAAGAAATGAGACCCCTGACTTTCTGTGGCCTGATTTCTATGTAAAGTACCGGCACTACCCTCAACACAAAGTCCAAAGTCAAAGCTAACATTACTGTAAAACATGTGACTTTCATTGTGATATTGTGGTTTTAGCTGGCTAATGTTAGCTAACGTTAGCTTGCTTGGGTATTATCTTAGTTGGTTGATGTTGTGTGGCAGCCAGCACCGGATATATAAAATATACTGATGGTGTTTTCTAGGTTTGTTGTTTTATTTTGTAAATTCCCTTGTGCTTTCCTGCATTGTCACTGGAAATATAAATATACAAAACTTAAATTAATAGCCCAGGTTTTTATTTTCTTCAATCACTGAACTCACCCTGTCTATATTTGGGATAGGTGTCTATAAAGAGCCGGCCTTTTATTCCTTTTGCACAAATCAAATAGTTTATTCCAACCAGTATGAATATTACATGTATAAAAATTCGTCTATAAGATATTACGAATCATTCATTTCATCGAAGCCAACCTCAAACACAGAGAGAAAAAGAAAGCGAGACTGACTGACCAGACCGCTAAATCTTTTGAATCGTGGAGAACCTAACCGATCTAACGATGTGTAAGATGTCCATATTGAGAATAGTTTAAACATTTATCTTGGTATGCCTGATCTAAGCAGCTTAGAATTGGCTCAAACAGGTGATCCAGTGGGCTTTAAGAGTTTCATACATCCAGAGAACTTGAATAAAAACCAGACCAGGCCTCTAATTGAGACATGCGTTTATTTGTAAGAACATGCAGCCACACCAGGCCAGTAAAAGAGACAGGCGTCTAACTGGGACTAGGCTTTTAGTTCATGTCCAGTATTGTAGGCCTATGTGTAAATGGTAACATGAATGAGTCGTGTAATAACTGATCTTACAATCACTATCGTAGGCTTTCCAAACTTTGACTTTTCTGTTGCATCTGTTTAAGCATCTGAACTGTACACCACCACCTTTAATCATACGATCTTGGCAGGAAGATTCAATAATGGCCAGTGCCGATACTTCTTCTGCGTTACCTGAAGTACATATTCACATACTGAATTTGCTTGGCTTGTTTTGTACTTCAAATGTCATGGCATTGCTAACTTCATGCAGTTCTTCTATTAGCTATTTTACACTTGGCCTCTGCACTGTGCCCTGCTCCAACTTTGCAGTGAACACATCTCGTAGCACTGATCATGGGTAGAAGGCCTTGGAATTAAAACCTCGAAGGCATCAAAGATGTGTTCAAAGGAGTGGCAAATAAAATAACAAATCGTCTCAGCTGTTTCAGGTTTCTGTGCTTCATTTTGACGTGTTTCAAGCCGTGTTAACTAAACATACAGTGTTCTACCTCTTCCATAAAGTCCAGGTCGGTCCTGGTCACTGCACCGATAGCCGGACCCATCTGGAACCTCAGGGAACCCAGCTGCCTCACCAGCCCCTTCTCAGCAGGGGTTTCTGGGTAAGGGTTGGCTACTTGAGTCCCAGGCTTCAGGGACATCATAACCGGGCCTGATGGAGATATAACTAACTGAAACTAGATTCACATATCTGTCAGCTATTTTGTCTCAAAGGCACTAATTGCATTACTGACCTCTGTTGATCCCTAACATCCACTCCTGAGCCGTCATGGCCGCCTGGTTTCCAGCTGTCATTGGATACAGATCCTCTTGGAAAAGACCTGACTGGAGGGAAAAACGGTAACACTTGAGCATCAGCTTTTATAATGCAGAATATAACAAGGAAAGTTGAGATAAACGCTTCATTATAACCTCTTTTCGTGGTACGATCATTGAGAGTGGTTCCACCAGGTCTTTGATGGCAATCAGGCGGTAAAATCGGAAAAGCTCACAGGCGCTCACGTCCAGGCCGCGCTTTGGCATCACCCCTGATATCAGGTCAGAGGTCAAAGGACATTTGGAGTTGGTCGAAAAGCTTTGGGACACAGACTTTAAAATGTGAAAGTCTGTTTTTCTTTTAAAAAATGAGCGGGAGGTAAAGTTAGTCTTTTCTTTAAATAATAATTAGAACAGCTAGCCAAAGGTGGTTCTTTCCAAAATACGTATTGGTACAGCTAACATTTTTGTTTTTTTCTACAGTAAGTGTAGAGTTAGCTATAGTTAGCTATATAGTTTTTTTTCTTATATTGGTAGCCTACAGAGAGCTTAACATTGGTCTTTTTTTGAAAATAAATATTGGTACAGGTGCTTTGGAGTTGGAGTGTTTCTGAAATAAGTTTCTGTGCTGCTAGCTAAGTTGTTTTTTTATCCAAAATAAGAATAGCTAGCTAAAGCATTTATCAAGTATGGGATTACCTAACATGACCGAGTATAGATGTAGCTGACGTTTGTCTTCAGCATTTAGTATTGGTAGAGCTACACTATATGGACTGAAGTACAGAGACACCCCTGTCCTAATAGTTTTGGGAGGGGCTGTTTTTTTCACGGTGTGGCCTTTGTTGAGGAAAATCTTTATGCAACAGTATGTCCATGTGCACAAAGCCAGCTCCATAAAGAAATGGTTTTCCCAGTTTGGTGTGGATTGAGCCCTGACCTCAACCCTACCAAACACCTTTTGGGATGAACTAGACCTAAGACTGCAATCCAGGCCCTCTCGTCCACCATCAGTATCTGATCTCACAAATGCTCTTCCCACAGTGAAACTCCAAAATCTTGTAGAAAGTCTTCCTAGAAGAGCGGAGGGTGTTACAGCTGCAAAGGGGGGACCAACTGTCTATGAATTTAGAAGGGGATGTAATACAAGTAATGAGTAGGTGTCCCAGTACTTGTGTTCATATAGTGTATCTTAGTTGTTTACTTTCTGTTTCTGTAAGTAGTGTACAACTTACACAATATGGTCTAATTACTAAAACTCGCTGAAGTTGAACTGAACTTGAGTTTCAGGGTTGAAAGCAGAAGTAGAGTATTTTTAGGCTAAAGTTTTAGGGTGCTAATTGAGTTTAGAGGTACATTTTAAAGTATTCAGACATAAAACGTTTAAGTAACACTTTTCTGCTGGTGTCTGTTGAACTCACCGAGTCCTTTCTGTGGCAGCAGGGACCTGTACTCTCTCAGGAAGCTGATGTACGGTTTCTCAGTGCTCAGCTCGTAGTACCGGATGTTCCCGTCACCCTAAAGCACACAAATGCATCACACCACTTATAGTGACCCCAAATGGTGGTTCTCTGTAATGCTGGTCAAGGTATTTAAGGATTAATTGGCAGTTAGCACTAGTTTAGAGAAGAAAAATCAACAACTAAACTGACACATTTAAAAGTGACTCAAATTGCAAAGACTTATGGGTCGACGTGGTAAATGTGTGTTGTGTGACCTTTCCAGCCAAGTAAAGCATGTGCGTGTCTGGGTCGTAGAACGGAAACAGGACTCCAGCAGACCCGTCCAAATCTTCTTCATAGAGAGGCTCAGATAAGTCGTCCTGCGCACAAACCAACACAGACGGGTCAGAAAGACAGGCTCTGGATTTTCTCAATACCTGCTTAACAAAAATGTCAGTTTGCAAAGGTTGAAGTAAATCTGGTAGACTCAGTGATGGACTGAACTGTCCGGTGGCTGCGCTGCTTATTACATCCGACCACCAGGCTTTGAACTGACCAGTGAGCAGCTAACCAGTGTAGATTTTTATCCAGAACGCTGAAGTCTTGCCAAAATAGAATATGGAGGTATATTTACATGGACCATAAAACATCTCGATAAATCCTCTTCTGTTTTGTTTAACCTATTTTTAGATTTCTACCTGTCCTGGATTGTATTGGGCCAGTCACAACCATTTATCTAATATGGGCCGGCTGACAGAGGTGCGTCACCAATGCAGATTTGAAAATTGACATGTTTCACTGCCCTGAATGGTATAAACCAATCGCTCTACGTATTCCACTAATCAATCACTCAGTTTGATGTGTGTGTGTTTGTGTGTGTCTTACAGGGTCCCAGAGGACGATCTGTCTCTGGTTCCAGGGTGAGCTGCCGGTGGACAGAAGCATCTTCAACCCTCCGATGTATAAAACCTTACTGGCCCTGTGGGTCTTGTTGCTGGACACCTGCAGAAACATTAATAACAACATTTTGTTTTCTGTTTTCACACAATCAGACAAAACGGAGGCCTCAAAAACACACCTGCAGAATCTTTCCTGTCCTCGGGTCCAGGACTCGAACCCGCCTGTCCTTGGACGTGACCGCCAGTCTGCTGCCATCACTGTTAAAGCTGACGGACAGCAGCAGCGTATCAGGTGGGTAGCGGTTGTAGATGGGCTTCAGAATGACCCTGACTGGGTACCTGAGCACTGAGCCTACTTGGGACACATCCCAGAGGAGGACCTGGGGCATAAGAGAGAAGTCAGGACTGATAATGCAGGTTGAGTTTGCAAAAGCCTAAACACACGTAAAAAACATTGCTGATGAAGTCATGTGCACAAGTTTACACCTGCAGGATATCACTCTGAAATTACTGGTAATATTTTAGTTTAATTAGAAGTAGTTGAGGCTCGACTTCCAGCAGTAGCCAATCAGGTTCCTGACCTTGTAGTCGTAGGCGGAGCTAAGCAGCAGGTTCTCAGCTGTTGGATGCCACTCAATAAGCCCCACCCTCCTGGAGTGACCAATCAGAGTCTTCCTGGCCTTGGTGAGGTTTTGTTGGACACCACAGACGGGGATGTCCCAGATCTTCACCTGCGTACACGTACACATACTGGGGTGTTTTCATTATACTTGTGAGGACTAGATAAAATGTCCTCGGACCTGAAGTCTAAAATGCATTTTGGCCCCCACAGAGATATATCTTTCTGAACAGGAGTGGAACAACGCTTACAGTGCAATCCTCTGAGCATGAGGCGACGCAGTGATCGTCAAACGGGTTCCACTTGACGTCCAGGACCCTCCCACTGTGACCGCACACCCTCGGGTGCTGAGGGTCCACCCTGCCCGTCTGAGAGAGATAAAAGCATTTACCGTCTATGCCACAGCTGCAGAAATGATCATGCACACCAACTTACTTACAGCTTTTCTTAACAAATAACTGCAGAACATTCGTAGAGAAAAACTCATTTATTCTTTCATCATATGATGAAACAGTTTTATATAGAATAAGAAGAGCTCATTGACTTCAGCGTGAAGGTGCGCAAGTCTGACTCGCACAAACATTGCCCCATAGTGCTAATAGTGTTCAGAAACTCCCCAGGGTACCTTTTTAACTGTCAGGGTGTACTGAACACACGCGGCAAGAAACCCTGGAGGGCAGTAACAACATTTTTTAGCTGGTGTTAAATACCAGCCCGTTCTCATTCCCAGGGCATCAGTAGCTATGCTTTGTCACGTCTTTAATCTTCTGGTACCAACACACACGGCACCTTTTCGCTTCATAGTTCAACGCACTGGGGAAAGCCCCTTGAAAGCGTCATTGTTCAACACTAAAAATAGTATAAATAACCAAAACGTTATTTAGTAATAGTTCCAACTATGAGACTGGTGTTCGTTTCCTGAGTGAATCAAAAAGTCAACATTGGATCCTTTTAGTGATGTTTTATTTAACTTGTGTAACTTACATAATTTAAGTCAGGTGAGTAACTTATTTTTATTTATTATTTTATTTTATTTAGTAAGTTATTTTAATCCAAACCATGATCTTTTCCTAAACCTAAACAAATAGTTTTGTTGCCTAAACCTAACCGATGTGCAATGTTTCACAACTTTAACCACTAGTTTTATTTTGAAAGTCTAACCGGACGTTAACTTGACCGCAGAGACCTATTGTGCAACAATGATGCTGAAGGGGTCTCCAGGGAATCCATATGTGACGCCCTGGCAACGGGTTGTAAAAACTCTTTAAGTCCTCTTTCTTCACTAAATGTGTTCAATCTGTACAGTTTGTTCTGTTTTTCAGAAAGTATCTTCTTTTTGTCTCATTTTAAGATGATGAGTCAGGACTACACACATGATGGATGGGCAGGACTAAAAAGGACCCGCCCCCGGCGCACTCAGTCACCACGGCCAAGAAGCAGGGATTTACTGAGCAGTAGTGGTTGTCATGGACACTGCGTGTGATTGGCACCCCATCATAGCTGTGATCCTTGCTGGAAGGCTTCCCGAAAACGTGGCGAAACTTTGAGCAGCGGAAAGACGAACGCCACGACATCTGGAAGACAGGAAGGTTTTAAAACTTTATTCATTTTTACAGTTACACTTTCTTTGACACTTTCATCCTGAAGACAGGAGGGATGAAAAAGTGTGTGTGTGTGGATCTACGTTATCTCATAATTGTGTTGTGGAAATTCAGCAGCTGCTTTATCTGGTCTTATCAATAATGCAATCAGCTGTCATTATTGGCTTTCATAATCTTATCAATAATAAATACATTTCTTCACTTGCTGAACTTCTTAATCATCCGGCCACATACACACATACAAACTGTTAAATCCATCATCCAGAACAGTTTGCTTGTGTCATTAAAGATTCATAAGTTTCATACAAACTTCCTGTTGATACAAATTACTCCCCACCTTTGACCTTTACTGTGGCTGGAAAAGATCAACTTACTGTAGAGAGAGGAGGGAAGAAAAGGAGAGACAAAGACAATCATGGCTGCAGCCGTTCATCTGAATGTACTTTTACCCAAGTACTGTATCAGAGTACAATGTCGAGGTACTTTTATGTATGTTATATTTTATATTTGTATTTTTACTTCTACTTCACTACTTTTCAGAGACAGATGTTGTGCTACATTTATTTGGCAGATACAGGTACTGATTACTTTTCAAATTAAGTCTCAACATTAAAAAAGATACAACACATACATTTCATTTAGTCCTCGTCACATTTCAGATGTCTTTGTGCTGTTACTTTATTTCCCATCTAAACGTCTCACATTTTATTTAAATAACTCTGATTAAATGATCCATTATTTCACAAAAAAGAAAATATTTGAGAAAAGTCCAGAATTATATATGGAATATATATATTTTATGTCGACGACCCCTCAGATTTATATAGATAAAACTAGTGATCTTTAGTTCTCACTTTCATCCTTTCACTTGTGATCCTAAATATTTAATAATGATATGTTTTTACCTCTCTTTCGTTTATCTGCATGGATCCTCTTTGAAAACCAGTTTGTCTAAATCAATCCTAACAAAGTTCCCTTCACTTTATTCAAATAAAATAAATGAGGGACAGCCAGGTGTTTGTTTGAAGGTGCGCACCGTGAGCCTCCACGTGTTGCATCTAATTCCCCATTAAGTCTAATAAACACATCAAACACCCTTTAAAACTTAATGTAATATAAATTAAAACACATTTTCTTACCTCAGGCGGAGTCATGTAGAGTCTCTGAGTTCTCTTCCTGCAAACAAACTTCTGTTGTTACTGTTAACAACGTTATTCGGACTATTATTGTGATACCCACCACCACACAACACCTATTTACAGCTAGTACTACTACCAAAGTACTGCAGTACTCTTCAGTGCGCTGGTACAAGGACAACTGCTGTGTCCTGCTGACTTCTGACTGCAGTATGTGTGAGTGTGTTTTCACTCCTGATCCATGACGTCTTGCCTCCCCTTCCACATTAGCAGAGCTGTTTATGCACGGCTGCACACGCACAAACACCCCTCTCCATCCGATACTACTGCCACGCACACACACACACGATAACACACAGAACAAGTGCCACACTAAGATGACACTATTAATGTTCATTATTAAAAATCTGTTGGTGATGAACAATGATGTAGCTAATGACACGCTATGAGCTGAGAGAAAGTATTTCATCAAAGCTTGATCGACTGCAGTTTGTGCTACAGGTGAATCTAAAAAAATGTGAATATCATGGGAAAGTTCATTGTGAGCACCAGAACCAGGCTGAGATTAAAAGCTCAGGAAACATTAGCACTGTACTAGTGTCAAATTTAGAAATAAATTATGGAAGAAAATGAACTGAACATGTCTTTGCAAAGGTCTAATTTTGTTAGTACTTTTGATTGAAGAGCACTGATCTAGTATTATTATAATTATAATTTGAAGTAGTAGTATTAGTGACAACAGCTTTGGTGTCGGCAGCAGTAGTGGTGGAATGTGTAACATTTACTCAAGTATTGTAGTAACATATTATGGTACTTTACTTGTGTATTTCCGTCTAATACTGCTTAGTTACATTTTAGAAGGGCATATAGTATTTGTTACTCCACTGTATTTTATTTTACAGTAGTCAGATGACATTGAAAACAACACCAGTAGTTTCACAATATACTTTGACACCTTTCAACATTTGACATTGAGTCTGAGTCATAAAACTAAAACAGATTTTTGTTTCAGACCTTTAATAATAATATTTTACTGCATAGCCAGGGTTTAAATAGATGCTCCACCTGGACCAGCTCCAACAATAAATGCTGCTTACATGTTACAATAAGTACATTTAGTAAGGATGCCAATAGATTAATAGATGTCAAATTTCAAGCATTCATACTTGCTAGGTTAGCCATTGCTGGTAGACAGCAAAGATAGCTAGTCTAAGACGTTATAGTGTGCTGAGTACTATTTTTAAAATCCAGGATGTAGAGACTCATATAAGATGTTGTGTCAGAACAGACCTTCTGGTTTTGAGTGGGTGTGTCTGTGGGGTTTCTAACTTCCACAGAACAAGGTTTAGAAAGTGATTGAATACACTGAAAAGTTTTGAACCAGTTATCAAACCCCTGCCCGTTTGAGACGAAGGTTTGCCTGCAAGGTTCAACTTAAATTTAATCAGTTTCATTTTACCATCAGAGCTGCCGAACAAAGGTAAGAAAACTAAGTCTGACTATGTGTGCCAATACTGAGAGGTTTATAGACTTTAAATGATATTATAAAGGCCATAAAGCTGCTGATTCTTGATTATTATACTGATTAAAAGTAAGTACGGCAGTTTTGAAATGATGACACTGATCAGACGTGTGAGTTACCACATTTTTTGTGCCAAATTTTCTAAATAATTTTCAATATCAATAAGAAGTAATTATAAATGTAAAACAAGCTTGGCCTGAGACTGGCATTCATTTGTTAGTTATAACCACTGTTAGATGAATTATTGTGCCAACTTACTTAGCATATATATATTTTGCGTTCTCTACCTGAAAGTTTCTCTTAATATCTATATAAATAAAAAGTGATTAAATTAGCAAAACAGGGGAGAAATCATTACAAATGTTACAAGATGTTGACTCTGTCTTCGCTATGTGCTTCGCTAAGGTTCATGACCCACAGAGCTGACAAAATGTTGTGGTTACAGGAGGCCTATGTCATTTTTTTAAACAACACACTAATCGCCCCAGTTTCAGTTTGACAATAAGGAATACTTTTACTTTAGGTACTTAAAGTACATACATTTTCTGACAATGCTTCTGTGCTTAAATATATGTAGGATATTGAATGCAGGACTTTTACTTGTACTGAGTGTTTTTACATTGTTGTATTGGCAGTTTTACTTCAGTTAAAGGATCTGGGTATTTTTTCCACCAATGGGTATTCGTAAGCTACAAGGTAGTTTATTTACTATGTTACAACACAAGGTTGTACAACTAAATAAAAGTTTGTAGTCCCTTCATGCTACACACACAGAACTTAACAGAGAATTACATCCATGTTAAAATGTGTTAACATAAAAGTTCATTGTGTTCTTTGATCTGTCTTTTAAAAATGTACTTTAAAGGATCTGGAAATTAAACCCCATCAAACTTTTAATGTGACATTGCTCCAAGAGTTCAAACACTCAGTGAAAGAAAGAGCTGAGCTGACTGTTGCTTCTCACCATACCTTGGTTCAGGAAACCACCACCCACTACAGAAGGGACAAGTCAAGTCACAAAATAGTCCAGAATTTCCAGTTAAGACTGCTTTATTGCCAATTGTTGTAGATGTGTGTGTGGTTCTGAAATGAGGAATAATATACAGAGTAAGGAAACATATTACAACCCATTAAACCAGTCATAAAGAAAAATAAATAAATAAATACCGCTATACTTAAGACGTTCACAAAGTGGGACCACAGTGATGCCAGCTAACCACTTTTACACACTAAGTTATCCCACTAGAGGCAGAAAGTACCACTTGAAAATAGGAGGTGTTAGGTTCCATGTGTTGCTGGCCTTTTTAACACTCAGTTCAAACTCACACACACACACACACACACACACACACACACACACACACACACACACACACAATCCTCCTCTCCTCATTCAAATGAACTGAATGAAATGAACTATGTTGCTGTGGCAACATGTAATGATGTCATAATCAGTCACCCAGTCCTTGTGGTCTCAGTGTGTGTGGTTTATAGAAAATAATGCTGTGGTTCTGCTTGGCCCTGACTCTCTCTTTACCACTTCCTGAAAGGCGCTACTAACGAACACTGACATACATAACTGACAAAAAGCTGCTGATTCTTGTTTATTATACTGATTAAAAGTAAGTACAGCAGTTTTGAAATGATGGTACTGATAAGACATGTGTGAGTTACCACATTTTTTGTGCCAAATTTTCTAAATAATTTTCAATATCAAAAGCTAAATAAATTGGGACATAAGTAAAAGAGAAGCAATTACAACTGTAAAACAAACTTCAACAGCCACACATCACTTTGCAACTTTATAAGACAGTAAACACCTCAACCGAGAGAAATCATTACAAATGTAAAAAGCTGCTGACTATTTTAAATAAAGCACTTAAATGCTCATTTCTAATGACTTTTGAAAACAGAAAGTACTTCTTAGAGTGGCTGAAAGAGAAGGAGAATAGACTGCAGAGGGGAGATTATGAAGACTCGGGTGCACAGTCAGTGAGACAAAGTACAAATGTATTCAGTTATCCTAATGTTACACTTGTGAGCTGGCTGTCTCACTTGGCCCTGACTCTCCCTGCAACAAATGTTTGTGAACAGTCTTCAGTGCAAACTCCGGTGACATGCCATTGGCCAGCAGTCTTTTTACTGTTTGAGTTTTAGAATATAGTATGTGTAGCAGCTTTCCATACAACTTACAAGCTCGTCCTCCTCAGGAGTTTCTACTCCTTCTCCTGTGACCTCTGGGCTCTTCTTTTTAAGACACTGTAGGATGCTCATCTCTGTGTTAACATTTAGACTTATTTTGAATAATTTATGGACACATAGCAGTGACACAGACAGCATCAGACATCAGGACACAGGGATGGTGCAGACAGAGGCAAACAAATGGTTCAGGAGTTTGTCCCTGGTCAGCCCACTCTCCAGACAAAGCATTTGTCGGGGGCCTCTGGGTCTTTAGAAACCTTTATCTCTGTATAATTGAGAATTTTATGTAAGTAGAGAACATAATGAGCCTTTAAAATACATTTTCAAAACTAGAAACACCTCTTTAACCCTCATAGAGTAAAGTAATCACTTCAGCTGAGCCCTTGAGTACAATAAACAAATAAATAAGCCATACTATCATCAATCTTAGTATAAACTGGTGCTTTGGACTGTGCTAGCTTTGACTCTGTTGTGCTATTGCCCTCATCTCTGCTGTCTGTCTCATGTTCCCCATATCAGCGATAGTACTGGTGCCGCTGGCCAGTGGAGCACTCAAAATCTTTTAAAAAATGACAAACCTACTCCAGTAAAAGTATAATATAGTTTATCTGCTGTGCAACAGGTGATTTGTATAATTTAATTTGCTTTGCTGGTTGATTATCTGTAATTTAGCTATTTCTGTTGAATACAATTATTTTCCTTTTTAAATCTCCATAAGATTTAAAAAGATCACTTTAAAATATCACACTTGCTGCCCAGCACTATTGCAGCAAACTCCTTTTTTACTCCCTTAACTTTTCAGCACAGTTGTGTCGCATGTTTTCTATTGGCTATATGATTTTTGTCCGGGTTTCAGCCGTTTATTTATGTCTGATGTGGTGTGTGTGAAATGTGGGGGGGACATGTCCCCCAATAGGTCCTATGTGTATGTGTGACAGTTTTTTTGAGATTGAGAGAATTTATTATGAGTAAGCTAGAGAATAAATGTGTGTGGAAAGAGATTGACATGTGGATACATGGTGTACACCAGAATCTATCAACCTAAATTTAATTAATACTTAATTTTGATGTTATTATATTTGGAAGGACAAATGTTTGTTTACTTTACCTGCTCGAGATCATTTTAAAAAACACTTCAAGGTTCACAAAGGTTGTCCAAATAGTTGCTCTGCAGCTCAATGGCATCACAAGGAAACGGCTGCGGTAATACCAAGGAGACGTCTAGGACATCAGGCCAGCTGGAGCAGACACTGAGGTGCATCACTTTAATGGTGAGGAGACGCAGACATTCACCACTAAAGGAGAATTGTATATTTGATGCCATCTCTGTCAGTTACTGAAGCCAAAGAAAGAAAAGAAAAGAAAAGTTTTCTAAGACTCACTTATTAAGGCCAGTTATTAACATGATAACTCTGCTTTTCCATGTCTGTGCTTGTCTCCTTTAGGATTCCAACCAACACTTGTCTACCACTTTTGGACAACACT